TAACAAAAATAACAGGAGGCAGCAAAGTAAAGTCTGCGGGTTACCCTAGTTTACATGGCAACCAATTGTCCATTGCATATTGCATACAGGCTGAGAATTATCCACACAATTTGAAAAGGCTCACTCAACAGTCAGACTGGTTGGCTAACATCTCCTTATTTAAACATACAGTACATCAGTGTTTTACAGTTTAGAAAAGTTAATAACATTAATGACTTCCCACCTGTATTAGTTGTCAGTAATGAGAGCGAGCACAGACAGAACAGTGCTGAAGTTTATCGAAAGCTGGGACAAATAACAAAAAAGCAATTATTCAGGTGGTCCGAGCTTTAGTTCACAATTTGACTGTTCTGGTTTCACTCTCACTGCTCTTATAGCGTTGTTTTCCACCAGCAGAGAGCTGTTGTTACGGTGAAAGTCCCTTTACAACACCACACTGCTCAACACCAAAATGCCCTTTGTTCACCTCTACAGACAGACAAAGTCTCTGTCTATAGAGATGAACAAAGTGGAGCAATTAGCAGCTGTGAAGCTAGAGGTTTCTCTCCGGAGTTAGTGGAAAATAAGTGTGGAGATGAATGAAGAATTACTTTTGGACTTATTTTGACTTTAGCGAGAAGAATTTTTCCTAATAACTGATGATACTAACTTAATGGATTAATGAGCAACTCTTTGCCAACAAGCTTGCTTAAAACAAATTCAAAGATAACGATTCCTAAATGTTGTATTTACAATTGTATCAAACCAAGTGGACAAAGGGTTGTTATTATTTCAGGTTTAGTGTGCATGAACTCCCAGAAAGTAAAAAAGCACACTTATGAAGTTTTAACACAATCTCAAACTGATTTACAGTTGGCCTATAGTTATGCTTTTTCTAGTTTCCTACCTGATAAATGCAACTAGTTGAAGTTGAGAAACAAGAGCTCCTGAAAACCAGACGCAAGAGTTTGAAGCGAGTGAGACTATCCTGGACCACATAATACAAGAGAAAACATTGCCTGGTCCAGACAACTATGATGTTGACTGCTGATGAAGGACTAGGATAGTTTCAATCTGTCTTCTTGAAAACTAGCCCTAGTGTTTCAGTATCAGTGTGACCCAACTACACTTGACAAATATGTACAAAATAAAACTGTTTAATGAGAAAAGGAAAAAAAAAAGGAGATGTTAATGCTAATTTATCACATAATAAAATGCATCCAGTCAAACATTAATCAGTCAAAAGTGTAAAGTGTGTAAAGACAGTAAAAGCCACAGTCTTTCTTCCTTATTAAAGATACTTGGTGTTCTTTATTTACATCATATTAGACAGAAGATGTGCCCTTAATGTCATCTTCTACACCCCCCCCCACACACACACACACACACACACACACACACACACACACACACACACACACACACACACACACACACACACACACACACACACACACCTGATTCCAATAACAAACAAACAGGGTTCATGTCCAGGGTCAGCTCTGTATGTTTACAACATGACAAAGTACAAAACACTGACCAGATTTCGGACACGTGACATTACCCAGTGGTTCCCTAAGTTACACTCTGTTAAATTGTTAAATGTCACAAATATATATTTAGTTTAAAAGTGAGCTGGTGTACAAATGTTATGGAAGCTACTATTCTCATGTGAGATTGATGAGTGGAGTACTATGCATCCTTTACAATGGCTGGATTCTTTTTTTGGACCCTGGACATGGATGATAAGCATCCACCATGTTTGTTTCTGCTGTTAATCCAAGGTTTATTATAGTTAAACAAATATATGAACCAGTTCCCCTTCAGCTTAGACCATTTGTCCTGCAAGTCAGTCGGGGGAAAGATGATCTTGGCAACAAGACAGTTTATGACATTGTCCTGACAAAAATCCTATATTAAGCAACCTTATCTTTCAATAAAGACATTCTCATTCAGTTGAAGGAAAAGTCTCCATCATTAAGAAAAACAATCAAAATAGGTGGGAGAAAAAATTACAATATTGTAAATGGAAAAATAAACAATTGTGTTCACTATTCTTGAGAACATTAATGTTACTTAAGGATGGAAAGGTTATGTTGCATGTTGGGAAAACCAGCCTGGCTTTCGATGGCACATATAATGACATAAAGCATCTGATATAGAAAAGACACAACAACGCAGTGGAACATGTGAAAATCATGTTGTGAATTATACAAAAGAAATCTGCAATATAATTGTATTACAAATTCCATTTCTCAATTATTTATATTAAATCGATCTTAATTGTACAGATTTGTTACAGGTACAATAGGCCTTTATTAACAAATTATTATCTGCACACTCATTATATTCTTATATGATTTGACACACAGACTCACACAGCAAAGCACACACACAACAGTTGCTTGAGTTACGGATGTATTTGGCTTTGTCTCACTGGACACTGGACCCCCCCGCACTTACCTCAGGCTCATGAAAACATTTGTTCATGTTCATTGTTTGACACAAATATTCCAGCATAGCTCAGTTGTATTGCCACTGTAACTGTAATGTTCCCCTGTGTATGAGTAAGTGACCTACAGTATGCAATGCAGTGTAATGGACTATCAGTGACAATAACAATATAGAGAACCAGTACCTGCAAACCATCCCCATTATAACAGCAAGTATTGTAAGATGTGACCAAACATTGACTATTATGCTGAGAATGTACAGACTTGGACACATGAGCGTTGGACACAAGTTGCGTGGGTGTAACGCTGTTCTAATGTCCTTTAAATAGCACTGATGAAGTTGAGTGTAAATAACACCACATTTATGCTACAATAGATTTATTAAGTATACGTTTATGCATGTATGCGCTGTAGAATATCGCTAGGATGGCAATCAGAGAGCATCTCTATAATGTGAACGCCTAGAAAAACTTCACCCCAGGCTCATTAACAAAACTGTCAAATACACTTAAGAGTGGTTCAGCTACCTTATGGGGACCCTAAGGACATTCTGTTTTATGTTGCTTTATTCATTGCTTTATGAATGTCTATGCACTGCATATTTTATGTAGCATTAATATGAATTTCTTTAATATATCCAATGCTGCAGGTGTTCCATATTTTTGAATCTTTACCCGAGGTTAAAATCTACTATAAACGAACTACACCACGGCTGCATTACTTTATTTAGCTCTGGGCAGACAACTGTTCAGCGCAATGACTTAGAGTTGTCCTATTTGGCCATTTGTTAGAAACTGCCTTTTTAAGAAACGTAAAAAGATAGAAAAATTCACGTGTGGGGTATTGCCTGACTAATTCCATGTTGTAGAACAAAGCAAAGGGCTTATATAAGGCATCTTACCTAAACACCCGTGGAATTTTAGGCAAGGGGACCGTAAACGAAAAAATGCTAAATAATTTCCATATTGTTTTACTCATTCCTGGAGCTCTACAGTATATATTTTGAACTAACACATAATTGTGAGGCTGTATTTATATTTATATACGTCTTCCTCCAAGTGTAACATCAAATTGTTGCTTTTCCTGTGTTCCCAATATGTCCCACTCTAATAAGTGCATACACAAGGGAGCGCTTATGTGTTCATGTTTCCATATGGAACATCGGTGTTTTGATAAAACTAAAACAGAGCAAAGAAGACTTCAATAAAATGGTCCATTTAACCTCCTAAATTATTATCTTATACCATCAGTTCAAAAGTAAGGCTTAGCAGTATTCATTTTCCCAGGACTTAAAGACATGGGGAACTTCCCACATGGACTAGTCTCTGGTGTATTTGGCAATAATAATATACCTATTTAACTTTTCACAGGCAGGAAAGTAAACATTACCAAGAGGATACATGTTGTGTCTTAGCCACTGAAGTATCCCTACACATGAAGTGTGTTTCCTTGATGTCGAGGTATGTGTTGCAGATTATGGTTTTCTATAATATCACCCAAACAGATATTAATGTTCATCAATAGTCTCAGGAACTGTATTGGCTCTGTTGCCACAAAGCAATATACATTTAACAACATGCCGCTTTTAAAGTGTAGCAAAAAAATGATATGCTAACTTAGTTTAGTTGCCACTTGGCATTATTTCTGAGTTAATACACATCATTTGATTGTGTTACAGATTCTTTAAGATAAAACTATGCCCCCAAGTCTTCGACTGAGTGAATGTATGCTTAGTTGACAGTGTTGGCTAATCCACTATTAATTATATACTGCATAGTAAACTTAAAGGAACAGGAAACAATTGACAAAATAGGTCATACATTTTGGAAATGTGCAAGCGTTCAAAGCTAACTAATGCTACGGCTGTCAGAGGAATGATGTTGGAAATATTTATGGCAATAATTATCAACATTTCAAAAACGATCTGATTCAAACACTTAGTGCTTTTCTTTTTCTTTTCTAGCTTCCCCTCCCATCATTTATTCATATATGGCACATTGCTTTGTTATGCTGGTGTCCATCTTAGCCACTCCTGTCCCTCAAATCCAGGGTCAAGCTAAGCCACTCCCCTTCAGATCGAACCCAACTATCCATTCACCACCACCAGTGTCTAGACCCCGGGGGTTTCATCGGATCGGTTCTCCCCTCCCGAACGATACTCCTGCACAACGGGGGCCTAATCGCCAAAACTCCATTACATGAATTTGTGTATTCCTGGCAATAAATATGTATTCTTACATCAAAACCATCTCTCCTGATTGAACTGACAGCAGGAACCAAATCCTTTACTTTGATAAGCCTGTGCTGGTGTTTTCTCAGAATTAAATTGGCACATTTCATTTAAAGTTTTAGAGATACATCAACTGTGTCCTTTATCAGATGCAATGAAATTAAAACTTGCTAGTCTCTTTCCATTCCTGGTGGAGGTTTGTGATTGAAAAGATAAATAAACCCTGTGCTGGAGTTTTCCATTGTCAAACGATGTATTTAGAAGAGCAGCTATTAACAGTTGAGTTATTACATGTAGGTTGTTTTATCAGTAAAGTAAGCCTTATTGTGATGCTGTTGTACAATTAAGAAAACATTTTTATTTTACACCAAGTAGGGTAAGCACACACAGGTATTAGTACTTTAAGTTTAAACCATCTAGATTTAAAATCTTTCTTTTTCATTTATAATAGCCTGAAAGTGGGATGTGACGTTAACACATATCTAAGTACTTTGTTTGGTTATAGAAAACATTTCTATCAACATAAAAACATAATATTTCATGAGACTAAATACAATTATCTTCTCTGGGGGCCAACTCTGCAACACCTTTAATTGATATAAAATGTATGCTTTGTACTCCACTGATGTCACATGTATATGATTTCAACAACCAGAACGGTGGCAGGAATGTAATGTTAATTACATGAAGTAGGTTTTCAAATGTGACAAGCCTGTCAAATATTCAAAGACTATCCAACTTCGACCCTTGTCTTCTCACTTTACGACAGATAATGAAGCTTCTCTTGCTCAAAACTTATTTTCCCATGTCTGGGTTACTAAGCTACGCAGAAGTATTTGGAAGGCCTGAGATTTCCACTGAGTCAATTATACTCAGTCTACCAGCAAACTAGTAGACTTAAATTTGAATCCTGTTGGTTACATTTGCATTGGGTTAGTGTATACTTTTATATAAATGTGGTAAAAAAAACAATGCAATTAAAAAATATTACGTATGTCAATGTGAACCGTGTCAAGCATGCATACTTCGACTATGAGTACAAGTTAGTATAGTACTATATTAGTACTATATTGTGTGTATTATTGGTTGATCCGGACAAAACAAAGATGGATAGAATTTTAAATATTTTTAATATTTCAGAAGCGCTTGATTTATCTTGTCACTTATTAACCTCTCAAATTAAAGAACTCACTAGTTGTAACTTTTGGTGGCCTAGAGTGAAGAAAAAGACATTCGATAAGTGAAGCGCTCTTGTGTTTTATTTTATTTAAAAATATTTAAAACTAACCCATCTTGTGTTTGTTCTGATTTGAGCAGTAAAAAGGCACTGAGCTGGGAATTATTTTCAGTCCTAAAGATATTACCTGCAATGAAATGGCTGTATTATTGTTGGTTATAGTTTCCTGTGAATTAGAAGCATAAAAGGCTCTAAGATCAGCTTAGCAGTAGCGTTATTTGGCATTTGTCCTTTGATGACCCCTCTTCAAACCTATCTCCTTGTCTGTGCCTCTCATCCGTCCCCTCCCACACACCCACCAAATGTCTTCTGAAGATGGATGTAACGAGCAGCAGATGTTAGAAGTATGTTTGGTAAAGCATGACATGATTGAGGGACAGTTGAAAGGGGAGTTGTATTGTTCTTCAGCAGGGGTTTAACTTGTACAAGAGGCCATGAAGCACAATGTTGCCATCCTCTAAAGTTCATACAACTTCATTCTTCTGCCTCGTCCTTGTTAATGGGAATTGGATATGTTCTGTTTGCCCAATTCCATTGCTTATGTGTGCAACAGTGCTAATGATTTTCCTCCAAGAATTGTTGCCTCTTGACCCACGTCAAGGTGCTGTTTGGGAGAGAACTAGGAACTTGGTTAGATCACTGTGTTTTATATTAAGGTTTCTCTGCTCATCGCCCCCATCACTACACTTCCTTAGGGACGGGTCTGTGTGAGACCAACTCAACTGCTGTTCCTCAAGTTCTATGAACCATATCTCTCTGCTCAGGTGAGATGAGGACATATTGTGGTTGTTTCACCTACAATGACGCAACAAGTTCATTCATATTGGCCAGCACACAGGTCTGAATGCAAGTTTTCAGAGAACTCCGTTGCATATCCACATTTTTTCTCTGTGATCTGTTCCCTGCATGTTCCATAGGTTCAAATCCAGCCTCTCTCATTATGAATACCTGCGTATCCTAGTCCGTGTACGGGGCCTACAGACTTGTTTCCCTTAGAAACATGGTCCCAATGCTGTAGGAGACTTTCCTCATAGAGGCCGGGGGGGCAGAGCGAGAGCTGGTCAATGAGGCGTGGCTGTGAGATGTTCCCGCCTCCAGGAAGTAACATGTCCCCGGGATTTCTTTGGGAAAATTATCTGGGAGCTCCAGCCTTGAGCGAGGGACAAATGAAAAGGAGCGGTCATCTTTCAGGAACCTGTTGAGAAAATAAGCCTTTTTTTAAAATAACATTCAAAAGTGTGAGTGTCATGATAGACACATGGTTTAAACAAGAGTTGTCACGCCGTTACTTACTGATAAGTTGTGGGACTGACATTGATACATCTCGGATGGCTCCCCGATTCAAACTTGCTGGCCAGTGTCACGTTGTTCCCAAACAGGCAGTAACGTGGCATTTTAACCCCGACCACGCCTGCCAGAACTGAACCTGTGTGGATCCCAATCCTTAGCTGAGAGAGAGGGGGAAGAAGAAGGTGGGAGAAGAGTGTAGAAAAAAAGAGGTAGAAGGGGATGGATTAAAGAGGAGAGCAATGACAAAACCAGCAGTATTTAAAAAGTTCAAAGCATGTGTTTCATGTATGATCCTTGACCTACCTAACATGGAATATATGTTGCTTCTGTTGTTGATATTTTCACTTAAATCTGTTTATAAACATTACTTTTCCCTTCAATCTTAATTGCTCATCAACAAAGTCTGATGTACAGATTAAATGATTAGTCGAAAAAATGATGAACAAAAAAAAAGTAATTGGCACGTCTTTTCCTATTCCATTCTTAAGTCAATCAGAGATGCAAACGAAACACTATTTCATTGAATTACAAAACTTGTCAAATGTGAGGATTTGATGATTTCTGTTTATCGGCCTTTATTATAAACTATATATTGGTGTTTTAATAAGATGTTTTTATAAAGGGCTTCACTATTTTCTGACTATTTATAGATATTAAAACTCACTGACAGAAAATGTAAATGGGAGATTAAGCATTATTATAACTAAATTGCTTTTAAGATCTGTTAGCAATGTGATCAAATCTAAATGATTGGAGCTGTAACAGACCTGGCTCTGCTGTGAATGTTCATATTTTAGATTTCCCTGCAGAGCAGATCCCATTAGTTCATGTGCCGCCTATCCTGCAGCTGAGGCCATGTTCTTCTGAACCAGAGTTGCTGTGTGTGCATTGATCCACTGAATGGAAATTGTACTGCAGCAATATTACTTCCATATTAGCGTAGCTTTTATTATCTAATTTCATATCCTGTGGCAGCAGATTTGATGAAAATCTTAAAATAGCAAGAGAGAGGAAAACGAATCAAGTACATAATTGCCTTCATCTCCTCTTGGTAATACTGTAGATATAGGGCAGCAACATGGTACTCATCTTTTAATCTGGCTCAAGTATGAATCTATAAATGGCCAGAGGGACACTGAAAGCTAGCCATCTTTCCAATTTGACTGCGCCAATTCATGGCCACCTGACTAACTATTGATTTCCTAGTGGAAACACACACACACACACACACACACACACACACACACACACACACACACACACACACACACACACACACACACACACCCAGTGGAACCCAGGGGATTTCCAACGATCTACTTGAGCATCTCATCACCTAGGTATCCAACGCCAATATGTGCATTCCAGCACTCTGCGAGGTAGTCATGGCAACAACGGGCTATGGGGTTAGTGAGGTAGAAAGAGCACAGACAGAGAGAAAGACAGAACGACAGAAACACTAGCGAAAGAAAGAGACGGAGAGGAGGCACAAATAAACTTATAATTAGCTGTCAAAACCTTGACGGCACAACAGGAGAGATGCCGTAAAGAAAGCAGGACAGAAGGCGGGAAAAGGGCTGGCAGGTGCACGACTGTGACCTATTTTTCAGCTAAACTGCTCACAGATGGCCGTGCGCTCTACTGTCTTTCTCCACAAAAGGCAACCACTCACAGACATAAACAAATAAACCTGCATCCAACGCCCACTCTTCTCTTTATTTCTTAGTCTGAAAACACAGACACACTAACACTCATAAACTCTTCCTCTCCTTTTCGCTGTGAGTCAGCACTGACAGCACAGGGCCCTCAGTGAGCCAATGAGCAAATGGCGCAGCAGCATAGACAACCAACCAGATTGTAGCCTCCAGCCAAGTTGACAGAAGGATACAGAGATAGAGAAAGACGATGATAGAGATGAGGGAGTTGTTATAGGGACCCATTTGCTTCACATTCACTCAGTTTATTGGTAACATCGGGTACAATCATACAATCGCTGTGCAATAAATTGTATATTCATAAAAGTTTTAATATATATAAAAAAGCTGATCCAACTTTAATTATATTTTTTGAGGATTCATTTCGTCGTGCTGTTCAAATATGTTGCATTACAGAGAGGCGGTATCCAGCCATCTCTCATTGGTAAAAATGAGGTGTACGAAAACATTTGTATCTTCATTATGGGGGTATTCTGCAAACAAATCAAGAGAAAAGTAATTTGTTTTGTTTTTAGTGCCAAGAAGAATCTGCCGATAAATCAATTACCTCTGTGTAGAAAATGTGATCAGGAAAAGACAGCCACTGTTGGTTAGAATGACGAGCCCCTGAACATTTCTAAAAACAGTGTGCTCAGATATTGCTCGTGTAATGTTTGTATCATATCAACAGAATCACCAAGGCAGCCTTTTTTTTCAGAAACATTTTAAAGAATCAAGACTTTCATCCCAAAGAGTCTCTACATGTGTTTGTTATGAACTGGCTGGAATATTGTAATTCTGTTTTTGGGTCTTTCAAATAAAACAACCTCTAGATTACAAATGATCTTCCAACCAGGACAAAAACAATAGAACATATAACCCCTCGTCCTCCGAAGCTTTCATTGGTTAACTTGCTTTCAAGTTATTCAAAATCCTCCTTTTGGTTTACAATGCTCTAGCTGCTCTAGCTCCACAGTACATCTCCGACAGGCTGTCAGTTATTCCCTGGCAGATCTCTCCGGGTACAAGATGGAAATCTCCTCCATGTGCCTAGAAAGCTCTTTCTAAATCAAGTGTGATGGCATTTAGTATGATTCAACTAAACGATATAGAACTATTTGTCTGCTCATATTAGACTTTTAAAACCCAAACAAAATACCTTACTTTGTACGCTAAGATGTACTTCAAAGATGTGTACAGTATGCTTGATACATGTGGTATAAGATGCCTGTTGACTTGTTTTGTATGTAAAATACCCTGCTTTTGTATGACATGGTGCCATAAAAATAAATCAGATTGGAATTGAATTTGAATGTGCCCACATTATTATTAGCAGTGACAATATAAGCACTACATCCCCAATACCCACACCCACTCACCTACTCATACATCCACTCATACTGACAAGCACACACATGCAAGAAGCCTGAAAATGACGCACACATTCGGTTAAAAACAGCACTGTTTGCTGGGTTTCTACATGTGTTTCTCTCTTGACATCTCCCTCCTGCTGTATATTTCTCTCTGTGTCCCCGGATCACTCTCTCCAGTTCTCTCACTAAGCATTGTCTCTCAGTTATCTCTCACAGCTCTCGTGCTAGTTTGCATAACAGTGCAACATTGGCTGAAGTTGAGTGCACTCACTGAACAGTGTTTATCATGCATAAGTGCTGAATATCTCTAGAACTCTTGTTCATAACAAAATGAAGTGAGGAGGGATGAGAAAGAGGAGAGGATAGCTGAGAAAGAACAGGAATACAAACTGAGGGGGAAAGAAAGTGAGAAACTGAAGAGGAAAAAGAAAGGAATGAGATAGAAAAGGGGCTTCTGAGGAGAGAGCGAGGGAAAGGGAGGAGGGGGAGAGAAAGGTAGGGAAGAGGAAAGACAGAGAGGGAGAGAAAGTGGAAGAGCAGGAGAGCAGGCCAAAAATGCTTGGCAAGTCCTTTCTATTTCGGAACAAACGGACAATGTTGTGAGCACAGTGTCCTGTCTGTTATTCAGCCGCAATCTGTCTTTGCATCTCTCTTATAGATGTTTTGTTCCTGTGTCATTCTTTATGTGTATTTTAAACAAGTGAAAGACCAAATGCACCCAGTGGCGAAAAAAAGAAAAAGAAAAGGAACAATTCTTGTTCTTCGAAATATTCTTCAACGCATGTGTTTCCTGTAGCAGTATTACAGTTTTCAATGTCCCATAGCCAACATGCTAAAACAAACCATGATGTTTAAATAGACAAACCAAAATAACTCTTTATCCTAAAATGGGAGGATAAAATAAATCAATTTGTCGACCAGACTTAAGGAGGTTGTGTGAGGTGAATATGCAGTAAGCACAGCTTAATCGGTGCATCAACGTGAAGCAGAGAAAGAGGGGAAAAAAGAAACAGAAGACACACACATACTGTACACACACCCACATACACCCTTCAGAAGCATATGGTACATAAATAGAACAAAACATCTCTTGCATACACCTACACGGCCCACATAGGCACTAATTAAGTCTCAGTGTAAACACAAGTGTATCTACATTAAGAGACATCCACTGACACGAGAGAGGCTCTGCAATGCAGCGATTCACTGCAAATAAGAGTGAAAATTGTGTGGATGTGAAAAATTGCTTGGTTGGATTAATTTGCTCTGCTCTGATGGAACAAGTCCGTTAATTGTCAAAGATCTGTGAACAAAACATTCAGAAAGCCGCTTCTCAGCTTTAGCTAGCATAAAATACTCCACTAATGACATTTTTATTCTTTACAGGTCTTTCAAAAAGGCATTTGCTAACAAGTTGCAGAAAAAGTTGTCAGTGAGACATTTCACTTTATCAAGTCTAGCTCTAGCTGCTGGTGACGTCATGCGACCTTGGGGTAGTTTTTTTGCAGAATAAAGTTATCTTTTTACTTTGGCTAACTACATACACTTTTCAAATATGAAAGTGTTAAAGTAAAATCAGATTGGTTTGAGGGAACAGATACAATGTTTACTTTCAGGTTGGCCTACAAAAATATGTAATCTCGACAGCACTCAATTTAAATCTCGTACCTATACGTTATTCATCGTCCCATTATCACCATGACAACTGCACAAAGTCAGTGCTGCAACCTCAAATTTCAGTGTGCAGTCTGAAATTGTCAATAATGTGCAAATATATATCAAACGAAATAAACAGAAACATAATTAGAGACATGTCTAAAAGGCAGGAACAGACTGGAACGACCTTTTTCACTATATTACACTATAGCCCTAACCCTAAAGAACAATATTGAAGGAAACTGTTCAGAACTAAGCGACAATACTGATAATTCCACTTGCTTTTAGGTGAAAAGTCCTTTGTGGTTGGCTTAAGTGTGGTGAATGCCAATTAACTCTTCTAGCAATGCACAGTGGATCTCAATCACATGTTTTTAACTGGTCTCCATCAGTTTCACAAAATGTTGCAAAATCATATACATTAATTGCTCGTGTTCTTATAGTGAAGGTATCAGAATAAAATGAAACCAAAATAAATATAATACTAAGCTTATAACGCTTCAGCAAAAATTAGCAGTGGCACAACAGCAAGACAGCCAAGACCCTGTTGAATGTTGAAGGCGATTGTTTAAAACTGTCATATAGTAACTACTGCTGACAAGACAACATGTGTTTCATCTCAGCAAGCGATTGATTGTACGTTCATTTCATGGTGATTAGGAACGCCACAACAACAAAAAAAAGCTAAAAATAATGTTTTTATTCAATTAGGAAAAAGTGGAAAAAAGCCATCAATCACAATCAGGTGCTGATTGGTGACAAAATAACACAGCAAACGTGCCTTTTACGCACCGCCTTAAGTTGGTTGATCAACAGCAGTCGGACACACATTTACCTTTTATTAAGGATAAATCCTGAACTATATCCACATTTGAAATGTACAGACACCATTAAGCGAACACTCATATTTGCAAAACGCCCTAGAACATACTATAATGATAATTTAAGCAAGTAGGAAACAGTGAAATGCCCAGAAGTGGCCCACAAACAAGGCCTACATTAAAACATGCAAGATACAAATTAAAAATTGATGATAAAATGGCACAGAGGGAGAAAGTCAAATACCGATAGCAAATAAGAAATGCATAAAAAAACAAAGCAATAAAATGAAGGAAAATATGAATAATTGGGAAAAAATGTAAGCACATCAGGCTAGTTTCTGTTTGCAAGTAGCACAGTGTTGTTAAAATAATAATAAAAACCCACCTTGATAGGTCTCCCATCAGGAGTCAGCACTTCTTCAGAAAGCTCCATCATCTTCAGGGCCATGTGTGCAATCGGCTTGGCGTGACTGTCCACCTTCTTGTGAAGTCCTCCCGCAACACAGTAGGCATCGCCTATTGTCTCGATCTGTAAGAGAAATGCAGGAGGAAGAAGGGCAGGAACTGTGAGTATATGCTAACGTGTGAAACCAATAAGTTATTCAACCACTTATGCCCTCTCCACATTAGAAATTAAAAGCCCTACAGTATTGCTGTTAGTTTCTCTCTCTTGGGCCACATTATTCACAAGAGGATTTGGTGAGCGTTTCGAGTGGATCTCTACAAAGCACTTACAGCAACTTGCATTGCTTCTGACCCAGTCTGAGAGGCCTAAAAACACAAGCATATCAAATCAAGCATTTCCATTCATTCTTGAAACCATTGCAGCCATCATGGCATAAATGCTTATATACTTAACAATCTTTTAAGAGTTACAAGTTAACCAGTATTTTATTAAATGCTCTACAATGAGGTTTAGTGTACTTGTAGGACACCATGAAGGACATGCTTGACATCTTGAATTATGCAATACATAGCAATTTTTAAATGCTAACAAATAAAGACATTTTTGCAACAGGACATTTGTTGATAAAGCAAGCAAATAGTGTCTCTTTCACAGATGTGTTGCCATATTTCCAGAGCAGAGTGAGCTTGGTGTCATGACAGTTAACAAAATCCTTTAAGAGAGAAGGAAAAGGCAGAAGAGAAAGAAAAAAAACGATGAGACAAACAGCTCTCATTTAGGACGGCCACGGGATAAATCATTTCGACAGTAACCATGACAATGGCAGCATACAGTATGTGTGCCTCAATCTCCTCAGCATATCTTCCTGTTCCTGCGTCTCTTTTACAAATACACACTCACTCCTCAGTTGCTATACCATAAACCCTGTTACATACACCCTATCTGTCTGCCTTCCTCTCTGTATCTGCTCTCCTTTCTCCTTTGGGCATCTGATACAAGAGAAATAACAAAGAGGAAAAGCATGTTTTTGTTGTTATCACAGTGACTGAGGATAAAGAGATACAGAGTAAAGTTGATGGCAAGTAAAAAAGAAAAAATACTGATCAGAAAATAGAAAGAGAGGATGAAAAGAAGGAAATATGGCTGACGAGAGTGAAGGCTGCGCCAGAAGCCCCACTGTCAGATGGACAATGATGACATATCTTTGTTAGGCTCCAACATACTGGCCATTAATTGGTTACATTTTTTCCATAACACAAGCATAACCACTATCAATACTGCATACATGTAGACTAGTATACACTTGTCGACACACAAATATATCATGTTCACACAGATAATGACACATGCTAAAGGGTTAGCCTTAGGTAGAACTGGTAAACCTTTAAAGAGCCTGTAAAGGTGGCCTCTAGGTTCCTGAGAGACATTCAAGAAGTTTTAATTGTTTTATTATGACCTGATTCTGCACAATAACATTATTTTTCTGTTATCCCACTTTTACAGTTTCAACAAATGTCCCAGCATCCTATCCCTTAGTGTATTCCTCTATCATATAAAGAAGATATTGTGGATATTTCTGTCTACTGACCTTATAAACATCCAGAATGCCACACTGGTAGTCGAAGCGTGTGTAAAGCTCATTCAGCATTGAGATGACCTGCATAGGTGTACACTGGGCACACACGGCAGTAAATCCCACGATGTCTGAGAACAGCATGGTCACATCATCAAATTTGCGTGCTGGCACCGGCTGACCCTGCCACAGTTTCTGTGCCACATCACCCGGAAATATGGAATAAAGGAGATCCACGGTTCTCCTCTTTTCCTCCTCCAGTGCCTGGTGAGTCTTCTCTAACGTGGCCTGTGAGGAGAGAAGCAGATCAGGAGATAAGGTTTTGTTCTGTGTGCTTTGCTTTGATAAAGGCTCTAAGGATAAGGAAGGGGATGTGGGAGTACTGCACCAAATTAAAACTGCTGGTGCATGTACATTTATTTGTGTATTGATTTGATTTATTTTTGATTGTGTGAATGTGCATATGTGTAATTGTGTCCGTGGGCGAGCTTGTGAATGCTAAATCTGTCTGATGCATTGCTGAGCCATTGTTCAAGCAGGCAAGTCAACCAAGATTTAGCTATTTATAACAGTGGCCTAGGGGAGTAGATGCAGAGAGAGTATTGCAGCGAGCAGATGCAAAGATTGGGTCAAGACTCGAGACTTTCTCAAGGGTACTTTGAAAGCAAATTATAAGAGCAAGTCCCAGGAGCAGCTCTCTCCGAACCAATATGAATGAGTCAGTCAGCAGAGACACTGGATTTAACATGTTTCAGTGAGTTGTCTCGCAACCATCATGATGGGAAACAGAAACACAGACTCAAACAACATACTGAATATGTTGTGTATTTTCACTATCTCAAGGATTATGATCAAGGGTTGTCATTACTCATGTTGATTGGTTGCCAAATAGTCAAGTCAAGAGATCTTCTTAATAGCAAACAATATTATAAATAGTGTATGTTGTTGCCAATTAGAAGCTAGTAAGGATTAGTGGTAATCAAAGCCCCTACTACTATCTGTGCTGTGAAGCTAACACCTGCTTTTTGTAAATTAGAAGATTAGAACATTTTAAACATTTTTAAGCAGGTGGGTCCTGTTTAGGTCATTGTTTTACAACAAGAAGCCTCAAATAAAAGCCTATTTTTTCATAAAGTCAAAGTTTTCTCAGTGGCACTGTGAATAAGAATGGACCCAGTGTTTACTAGTAACAACCACTCTACCTTCAGTTTGTCCATTCTCTTCTTTAGACCATCCTGGGCCTTGGCCTGCTCCCCCACCAGGATAACGTCTCGCGTGGCATCATGGATGGGGATATCTGACAAGTGGAGACCCCTGCCCATCAGCTCCTCCAACTTGTCGACACGTGGTGAGCCCAGAAACATCATGGAGCTGGACTCGGGCACATGGATCATTTGACCCTTCAACTCCATGACCTGGAGGGCAGAGCAATGGGTAAGAAAAGGTGTTTTAAGAAAGTTAAAACGTTTGTCAAGTGTTTTTGAAAGCTTTTTTATAGGTATTCAGTTAGAGAAGGTGAAAACTCAAAAAATTCTGATGATACGTACAGAGCCACAGGAGAGGACATATTGTGAGATTAGGAAATGATGTCCTCTCGTTACAATGGACGTCAAATCCAGCTGATACTGTTTTTCCTCGAACCAATGTGCTCCAACCCAGGACAATAATTGACAAAATATGATTTCCTGAATTGGCACTAGTCCAGTAACTGTCCTTTACATGGAGGTCAACATAAAAGGGGTAATCAAGAAGGATGGCTTCGTTCATTAATGCTGCCTGACAGAGACTTTACCTCTTGAATAATTATCTAAGTTATTATGTAATAATTTCCCACCTTCCTTTGCAAGTCCATGGAAACATCTCAATGTCACATTGTGGCAGCGACTTTACTTTTAGAAATGCATTAACAAGAATACTGAAGATAATCCATCAATCAATGAATGGCTTTCTATGCATTCATGCCTGCACACATACATGTACATTTATACACACATACCATGTTTTGCTCGTACATAGCATAGATTATAACTAAAGCAACAGCAGATAACAGTTAGTTGCCAGTCAATTTCATTTGGCAAGGCAAAATATACAATATGCATGTAGCATATTGATCTTTATGGAAAGAGACTGCGTAAACTGGTGACCTAGTTACAAAGCGGACAATCCCGTCATCATCATAATGTCACTGGTTTGACCCACATAGTCTATCCAGCCTGTGTCTTTATTGTATAACTAAATCCTCAACAGCTTGTCTATATATCCTTGAACAACAAATGCTGCTCTATTATCAAATGTTATGTTTTTAAGTGTTTGAGCACTTACAACACAAATCAATGAGCAAACATGTCATGTAATTACAGATATTTCTGTTAAAAGGCCTGAACAATTGGTTTTACTAGCTTCTTGACATTTTGCTCACGAGCACTTGAACATTATGACAAATATGTGCAGGTCCTGCAGAATGTCCTTAACACAGGTGAGGATTATAAAAACAAGAAACCCTGTAGATAAGCCACATTTTGATTTCTCCCTTGGCACTACTTCCCTGTTTACCTGCTTAAACATTGGCTCTGTTTCTTCCCGTTCTGTATTTCTCTGCACCTTCACCTGTCTTCTATTTCTGCTCGTCCCTACCTCCCTCTATGCTCTTCTCTTGGTCTCTACAATAACTTCTACCCCTCTCTCTCTCTCTCCATAGTGTCAGATAGATTATTCCGCCAGTGAGCACACTGCAGCCCTGTTTTATTTATAGCACCAGGCTCTCTTAGGTCTGCATAATACATACAGTCTACATCTACACACACACATACACACACAACCAGAATACATCCAAAAGGGAAACACACATACTGCATCTGCCCTGTCTGTTTTTCAGAAACACTGCCATTCATACATATAAACCCACATCCAAACATATATGCACATATGCAGCCTACAACCCACAGGGTCCAAGATCAAGACACACCATCCTCTGCAACACAACACAGTGTGATCCAGTTACTATGATTGACACACTCAAAACAAACACACACACACACACACACACACACACACACACACACACACACACACACACACACACACACACACACACACACACACACACACACACACACACATTTAGTAGTGTAGCTTTCACTGTTCTTCTATATTACTGTAGCAGCTTTGCCTACTGTAGGCCAAACATCTGCACACGCTGCCACACAAATACAGCAGTAGCCGTTTTGTCCAATGTGAGTTTAAGAAACAGTCATGTGATTTAGGGTTGGGCTGATGAACATCGTCCATTCCATACATTTTATTACGTATGTACACTTATGCAATACCCCCAACATCCCTCCGCCATTAAATAATCATTTCAGTTATTATAAAAAACAATCGAGTGTTGCGTTGAAAAAGTATTTTATGCTTTAAGATGATGGCAATGTAGATTGTTGAAAATAGATTGCAAGTCATTTACAGGAAGGATGTATTTGAGAGATGTTTATTCAGTGTGTTTACCTGCAAAATACACGTGACATTTTTTTAAATGACACTGAAACAGTTAAACGTATCGAATTCATTTTTTAAAAATTCAGATTACTTCAAGCAACGGGATCTGCAATTCAGACAGCTTTACAAGCACCAGCTGGGACAATTCTTAATTAAATTAACCTTAAAAAAAGGTCACTTTGAAATCTAGACTCAGTCCGTGTCCTGACACAGATGCACCCTGAATGCCTGAATGTGGGTAGCCCTGCATTGCAGCATCAAGACCAGCAACTTTTTTTTTTTTCTGGAACTGTTTCATTGAGTTTTTCTGGTTACACAATGAAGGTTAAAAACGGCTGTTTTTAAAAAAAAATCATGTACAATAGATATACTTATAGCAGGGTCTTACCAGATGTCTCTCTGTGTCCGTCCATGTTGTTCTGTCACTCTCATTTTCTGTCTTACTCAGTCACAATCTCTCAACCAAACCGATGCACAGATATGAATAAACATGGACACACTCACACACACACATACATATACACACACATCCCTGGAGGCAGTTGTGTTGGCCTAGTTGTGCGTCTGTGTTTAACTCAGCACTCTCCTCTCCTTCTGCCTGCATCTCTGTTATCACAGCACAGAAGAAGAGGAGGTGAGGGGAACGAAGGAGGAAGGAAGGGCAAAATGAACATGGTGGTTAGGAAAGAAAGCAACACAGAAAGACGGGGGAGGGGGGTGAGATGGATGGATATAGAAAGTGAGGGGGGAAGGCTAAATAAAAACATGATAATGATAATTAATAGCATTGAAGAAATAGCTGGACGGATAGATCAAAGACTAACACTGGAAAAGGGAACAGTAATGGTGAAGACAGTAGAATCACAATGAAATCAGTCGGAAAGGAGAAGCAAAAAGGCATGCTTATATCCCTTTAGGGATGCAGAAAGAAGGTATACCATTTATTTCAATTCCAGCTGATAAAAACTCAGCAAATTGTAAGACAAGGCCAGTATGTTTTGTCCCACACCGTTTGTAGTAATGATCGTTCTTTGTGGCGTGTTGCACATTTGCTCTGAGCCCTTGTTGAAGGTCACTGCATTGTCATTACAGGGACATTTAGTTAATTCTGAGAATTCAGATAAGCTATGGTTGCCAAGATGTTTATAATGCCATATATCAGGGCATGGAAACAGATTTTAAGGAGCTGAAATCGTAAAAAACAACAACATTGTGATCAGAAAAATCAACATCAAAATGTGAATAATCTTTTAATTTACTCTTGTATTAACTGCCTTAGAATATACCCTGTGAGCAGAATTATCCCTTCCCTATTACACTTGTAAGACTATATTTTTCTGCACAAAACCAATAATCAAATGCACATTTAAGATCAAAACAAAAACGTTCAATTGTACAATACTAATCTTCTGAATCGTATTAAAAATCTCCACAGCTATCAGTGCATAGCTGCTTCAATAATTGACAACATCTTAGACTGTTAACCAAAAGCAGGCACCGCCGGTTTCCTGTCTAAGACAATTGTTATTTGGTTTGAAGGTAATCAAACGGTAAAAAATATTTTTTGGCTAATTAGGTTCTTTCCAACTGTATAACAGCTATCTTTTATTTTACTTTCACATTGTTTTGTAAATAATAAATTGTTCTTGGAGTGCATGTTTGCTATTATAGCAAGTGTTTCCTCGCCTCCCAATTACGAACCAATATAATATTCATTGATTATGTATTGATCAAAAGCTGTGTCACTTGCATTTTTCCGCCACCTGACTTATATTTACCCTGTGTGCATATTTTTGCTTTTTGTCTTAATGCGTGATTTAGTTATGTATTATACAGGACAATTGTATTTAAATATTGTTATGTCCAATGATAGCAAGGCGCACATTGTGTTTTTTAAATTCTACATAATATCTATCCAAATGTACAGATTCAGGTTGCTATCGCCATTGTCGTTCGATGAAAATGAGAGATCGAAGGGGAAAGATACAAAAACAGCTGAAAGGGCCACAGGTGGAAAAATAGGCAGAAAGAAAGGGAGAGTAAGGAGAGAGGGAGACAGGAGAGAAAAACGAAACACACTAGACTTGAGGTAAGCGAGAGAGAGATGGAGAGAAGGAAAGAGAAAAAGGTGAAAATGGACAGCTAATGGATTGACTTTTGTGAGCAGACTGTGGCAGGTCAACACACTCTCATTTGCATGAACAAGCATCGAGCATCTTAGTGGAAAAGCGCCATAAGAGTCAATGAGTCAGCCTCTCTCTCTCTCTCACACACACACACACACACACACACACACACACACACACACACACACACACACACACACACACACACACACACACACACACACACACACACACTGCTCTTATCTTGTCAGACCCTGGCTATGTGTGCCATCTCCTGTTTTCTCAGTAAAACAAACACACACAGAGAATGTAACATATATAAACATTGTATAAGCTTATTTCATTTTTTTTATGAAACCTGTGAAGAATATGGATTTTGTACTCATATCAAAAGGGAGTTTTGAGTCTCAGTAACTGTCATATTGCAGTATCCGTGCAAGCAATGGAAAAAAGTGAAGACTGCCAAATGTTTAAACGCAACTGGGTGGTACAGTTAATCTGTTAATCTGACTGATTGAGTCACGTTACGCTGAAACCATTAAGTCACACACAATAAGGCGGCCCACAATTAAAACAGGTATTTTTTTAAATGCAGTTAATTGAGAAAAAGTCTGCTTTACGTGAAGTAGAAATAGATTCCTTTTCCCTTTAATGCAAAAATAATATTACTGGAGATGATAGATTGAAATGCAACAAAATGAAGACAATATGTTTTTTGTTTCATAGTAAAAAGCAATCTTCTGATACCTTTGTATTTTCATTTACCCTTTTTTTATTTAAATGTATCAAGAGAAGACAAAGAGGGCAGTGATTTTCAAAGCCATTTCAAGGGAACAAACAAACCACAGCATTGATTTATCTAGAAACAGATCAAAGGTGGTGCTAAATGTCGAGATTATCTTTGTACTCCGACACGCAGGTGCACACATGCACAATCAAACAAACCTCATTCACAAGCCCCTACAAATACAGAAGCATTTGTAGAATAACAAGTATGACACTGCAAATTTGAACATCCTGATAGTTTCCCGAGCTGGTACTCCTTAGCCTTGACCAATTGTCCTCAATCTCCCCCTTTAACTACAATACATCGGGTACAAATGTAAAAAGAGAAAGGAAAAGAGCAGGACATGTCATTTTGTCGACAACTGCTAAGTATAGGCTAAGGCTAAGACAGCTGCTGGGTTAGGTTGCAGCACAAATACTGTTATCTTAGACTTAGACATTCAGGACATAAAAAGAAAATGACTCATCCTAACTTCGCTGTTGACTCTTTGACCCAGAGAGTCTGGGAACGTTTGGATGTCCACAGCAACAGCACCACTACAGTGGGGGCGGGTGTTGTGATGCATGAATTATCTGTCTTATTCATCCTGTTCTTGTTAAGAGAAAAAAACATCTGCTAAGCCTCTAAGTAAAATGAACAGAAATGGCATCAAACTACCTTTGCATGCATTTACTTTAAGAAATGCATTTTTAAACTCCAAGGCATTACGCTAAAAATTGCAACAACATAGTCTAGCCAATCAAACTAGAGGCAAGTCTAACCTTTGTTTAACACTGCAACCTGTTTTCACTCCTGTGTGCTGACCACAGTGCTCACACTAAATGGAGAGACAGAGAGAGTTGCGACTTGACCTTTTCAGTAGGTCTTTCTCTGGATGTCGTTTGTATAACCCATGTCCCTGGGCAAAGACAGGAGAGAAGTCAAACTGAAAACCCACTAGAGGCCATTCAAACACACACACGGTGCAGTGAAGTGGAGTGCTCTTTTGTGGCTTCTTTACCTTGGCCTGTCGCCTTCTCTTGCTGCCCTTTGTCGTGAAAAGGTCAGCGCATCCTTCTCTGTTTCTCTCCCTTTGTTCTACTTTGCTGACCAGGTGACAAAAGACTCATATGGCATACGTAAAAAAAAGAACTTGCTGCTCCATAAATTGCAACACAAATCTGCCAAGTTGAACGTTTTGGAGCTTGGAGGCGGACTTAAACTTCAGCAATGCCAGGTCTGAGAGAGAAAAGAAAGGGCAGTTGCCGCAAATAACTGAAAACAGTGGGAACAGGATAAAGTAGCTCGGTTCAACAACTGTGGACGGAGAGATGAGAAAGATTATAAGTCCACCACACGGAACCAGAACAGGGATACTTCAGCTAACCTTGAGCTCAAGTACAATCGGCTGATTCAACTTCCTGTCAGTAATGTATTTGCATGTCCAAAACTTTAAATAAATAGTCAAAGGTAAATAAATTATCTTTTTGTATGATTCTAAAGTGTTAATAGCCACATTGTATTCTGATTATTGAAACAACAGTGATGCGGTCGATATTATTGATGAATCCAAAAGCAAATACAAAATAAACGTTGTGACCATATATGTTCTGTGTTGTTGTTATTCATTTGTGATTTTTTATATATTTTATTTATAATTTCATGATAGTTTTGCATCATAACCTGTATTTATTGACATTGGGATTTGTGAGTGATCATATCCCTGTGACTTTATTCAAGTGTATTGCTAACAGTGCTGAACAAAGCAGCTATAATCGAGGAAAAAATAAATCACTGTTTTAAGAATTCAATTTTGACAAATGTAAACCG